AAAATGAAAAAAAAACGTAAAAAAGGCGCCTTTGCCACCCCCAGCAGCAGCTCCCATCATCGAAGGAAACATGCCAATATGTTTAGTAATGCCATAATCATGGCAGATTCAATGAAAATTTTGGCATAATGAAAAGTAATTAAAAATGCCATCCTTTTAGCATTTTCAGAAAAAAAAACGGCATTTTTTACAAAAAGTGGCAGAATTTTCACTGATCAGAGATGGTGGTGGTGTTGGGAGGCATTGGGAAAGGTATCCATTTTTTATGGGTTTTAACTATTACTCCATTCGTCCCATTTATATTGTCTCAATTCCTATTTACTTGGTCAACACAAATCACTCTTAATTTCTTACTTTATATATAAAAAATTTATCAAATTTGATTCAGGTTTTTGCGACTTTGTAAAGCTTTAAATGTAGTTTTTGAATATGTAATTTTTTTCCCTAAAAATAATTTGAGTGCGGACAGGGATCTGTTTGCTTTATCGTCGGTCAAACATCATAAACCGTAAAGAGACAATATAAATGGGACGGAGGTAGTATTAAATATTTTTTAAAAAAATTCAACAAAATATTTGTTAAAATATTTTTTATAAATATTTTATTACTTTTTATTATTTTTAAGGGTTTTTTTTTATTATTTTTAATGATTTTATTATGAGTTAAAACATTTCATGATGAATTAATACTCTTAGGGGTATTTAGGGTAGAAAATCAATGTTTAGTCCCATTTCCGGAATTGAAAAGGTAGTAGTTTTGTTGAGGTTTATTCCTTCAACCTGAGGGCCCAACACGTTTCCCTAGGGTTTTGAATGGAGAGTTTGGTGATTAAGATGTGCAAGCAAGTAAGATGGGTCGAGATTTCTGTAGCAAGCGGGTTGTGTCTCATTAAATCATAATAAGGGTCCGTATACAACACACTTCAACTACCTGCTCGGAGGCTGTTCGTCTATCTCAGTAAGAAGAGCTAAAATAATTGCAAAATGCTAAAGATAATAAGTTGTCAACCCTTTACAATGAAATAAATGTTACTCCCTCCATTCCCAAAAATACTTCTCACTTTCCTTTTTGGGCCGTTCCCAAAAATTCTTCCTACTTTTCCTTTTTGGACAATTTGTGTGGCTCACATTCATTTTACCTTTTTCTCACACAACCACAACCACACATTTCCACTTTATTCCACTTTCTTAATAGACGTGCCAATTCAAATCGGGAAGATTTTTTAGGAACGGGGGTAGTACTATTTATACTACCAGGGGTATGTATAGTTGCTGATGTGGAGAGTTGTGGATTTGGTGGTCCCCAACCACTAAATCTTCTGCATAAAATGCGCCTCCCGCCAATATCTTGGTTTCCCGCCAAGGTTTGGGGACGAGCGTCTTCAGGATCTTGGGTTCTTTGCCTTGGTGGAGCAAGTGTGGATCATGTGCGTCTGCTGCAAGTCACCTGGCTAAGGGTGTTAGACTGTCATTTGACACTTGGGTGGGCTAAGGTCACAGAGGCCGATCGTCATCCTATGTCAGACGAACGTCTCACAGCAGCTTGGTCCATTATGGCTAACTGCCTCTTGTGGGTTGTGTTCTGAGGCCAAGCGTCTTGGGCATTCCTCAACTTGGGCCTTGATGATCTTCGTAAAGGGGGTATTGGGCCGACCCCCAGTTGGGCCATTAACCTAATAAGTTCTATTTGTTCTTTTTAGGGACTCAATAGTTCTATTTAGGGCAATAACTAATACAACCTCCATCCCCGACCCCCCAGTATTAGGACAGAAGAGAGTGATGTTGTTTTTAAGAAAAGTAGAATTATTTGGTTGATAATGAGTTGATGAAGTGGAAATAAAGTAAGAATGATTAGAGTCACACAAATGCTAACAATAATGGTAGGAGACAATAATAAGGGGACATCCAAAATAGGAAAATGAGACAATTATAGAGGGACGGAGGGACTAAATAATAGTGTCATGTCATTTGTCAACAAGCCGATTCTAATGTTAGTAGTAATTCAGCAATCAGCAGATTTGACGTTGTATAAAACATAATATTCCATGCGTAAAATAATAAAGCGATTTTTGAAATATTGTGTAACTTGGTTTTGATCATGATTACATTTTTATAAGAAGAATGGTTTATGAAAAGTATAAACATTCACAAAGTGTATGTGGTTACTGTATATTAAGAATGTTATTACTTAGACTGTACTTTGCTGGTCTGATACGGTCTGGTTTGGTGTGAGCTGGTTTCGTAAATGTTTGATTTCTGTATATTTTATGACTATGAAAGTTTAGGTCTGGTACGGGGCTGAAAAGAATCCAAGTAAAAAAACATCCCATGAGAAATGTTATAGAATATTGTAGGTTAGAAGCAAACAATCAATTGTCAATATGTACTCGGGCAAATACCCTTCATTTTAGTCTCTTATCTTTCATTATTAATTTATTGTCAATATTAATTTTCAATGGGTTTCAATAATATTTAACCCCCAAGGCAATTCCATCTTCCATGATGGACTAAAAGAAGTCCATTAGCCTATCCGATCCCCTAGGTCCACATGTATGGAGAATGATTTACAGAGGCAATTTAAGGTGACAAAAGAGAGAAAAGTAGCAAAATAAATTCCATTGTACCACACCAATTGTAACAGCTGTAGGGGAAATAAAGTTGTTGGTACAAGACATTATTAGTAGTAGGGCTTGTTTGCAAACTATTATTTTAAGAGCCCGTTTGGTAGCACCAAAATCGGCTGTTTTGGCTGATTCTTCTGAAATTTATGATATTCTGGCTGGAGTGGCTGTTTTGGCTGATTCTGTTGATTTAAGAAAAAAATATTTTAAAAATATATTTTATTAATAAATTAAAGAAAAAATTATATGTAAAAATAGCTAAAATGGTCCTCTACAGTAACTTCAGCCAATACAGCCAGAAAAGTAACTCCAACCTTACTTTTTCGGCTTATTACACAATTCAGCGCGCGAAAGTAAAAGTTACGTGTTTGGTGAAAAAGCTGGCTGATAAGCCTGATAAGCCGAAAACAGAGTTCTCCAAACGGGCTCTAAGTGCTTTTGGCTTTTTTTAAAGAGCACCGTTGGAAAAAAGCACTTATTTTACCAAACAATATCAACTTTTACTTTCTCGGTTTTCGTGTAGATTATACTTTTTACTTTTTCTATTACACAAAAAGCACTTATTTTACCAAACACTACCAACTTTTACTACTAATCACTTTTTCCCAAAAAGTACTTTTATTTAAGAACAAGTGGTTGCAAACAGAGCCGTAGAGTAGTTTGGGGTATTCAAATAAAGATGTTCTTAGACACATATTATGAGTCAAACAAGGGTGAATAAATTTGTACGGTTGTATCACGTTTGTGGCCTGCTATTGAGCTCTTAAATATTGGTGGTTATCTTATTGGGTATAAAAGTGGGCCGATATGAGTTACACATAACTGTTAATCAGGAATTCAGGATTCAGGAGTGCTCAAAATACTAAGACTCAAACGGTGATAGTAAGTACCCTAATCACACATGGTTTTCACGTATTTTCTTAACTATAAATATGAGGTTTTTGGACTTAAAAACTTAACCAAAATGATCATAAAACGTAGGCAGAAATTATAAAATAATACTCCCTCCGTCCCAGGGAGAAGTTCTCAATTTCTTTTTTTGATAGTCCCAACAAAAAGTTCTCATTTCCCTAAATGGAAAGTTATCCCACATCAAAACAGTGTCAAACAGTGCAAAACAGTGTCAAACAGTGTCGAAACAGTGCCAAACAGTGTCGAAACAGTGCCAAACAGTAAAATTTACCCCTCAATAACTTTATTTCCTAAATGTGTGTGAAAGTCAACCCGGGAACTTCTCCCTGGGACGGAGGGAGTACGAGCATAGTGCCTTAGCAATCTACTAAAATCTATACATTTTGAGAATAATAGAAATTTATCTATACTTACTCTTAATATTTAGCGTTTGTAATCATTCAGAGAATTCAAAAACAAATTATAATAACCAAATATGACTTGTGAGTATCATTAAAACTATAAGTCTATAACTCATTAAAATGTTAATTCTTCACATCACGGACATTAAAATTAGTGGATGAAAAATTCATGTATTATCTAAAAATATCTTGTTTGTGCTTCTGTTTTTATTAATGTAATACTGTGTATTAAATAACACACGTTGTCTCTTTATTTTACTAAGATAGGAATAGAAAAAACTCACCCCCGAGTCCCCGACCCTTCCCTATTTTCTCATTTGACTTTGCCGCATTTAAGAAAAAGTAAAAAATATATGATAGATATTCTTTAAAAAAATATTAAAACAAAATCATTTCATATACATTTTTAAAAGAACTATAAAAGTGGGTTGACATTAAGCAAAATAAAAGTATTTTCTAACCACTCATTTGTCATTTGTTAAGTGTATCAGTATATGAAATGCTCCTATGCTTCTATTCTCACTTCAAACTCGACTTTGCACCAGTATTACTCCCTATATATGCATATTGCACCATTTTGCGTGAAACGTACGGGTGATTCGTCTAGTGTTTGTATTACACTATTACACGAATTGGACATAATCATTTGCATGCGTCAATATAAATAGGAAATTGAAGAAATGAAAAGTATTCTCCATATTATTTAAGAAAAGTGTAAGGAGGCCTCGAAGCTACTTGGCACAATTATTAATAATATAGTTAAAAAAATAAAAATTATAATTATTTTGTGTATAATAAAGTGATTTGTTGTGGACTATACATTTATTTCAGAAAAAAAAGGGGGGACATTTAATTTGGAATAACTCAAAAAACAAAGTAAGATATGTACGCAGGGAGAGTACTATAATTCCTAGACGTGAAAAATAATTCATATTCCTCTAACTTTAATTTGAAGCCATGAAGGAGTGTGATGTTAACACCAAATGTGATTGGCTAAAACTCCCTAAAAGATGATATGTACCAAAACACGCCTAATCAAGGAATGCACCGTAGAAGCATTAACCGGCGGTTGATTTGCTATTGTTATCAGGTCCCATGAATAGGTGATAGGTACAGAAACGTGAAAAATAAAAAAGGCACCATTGCCATTTTTAAAATGAAAATCACCTTTAGAAATACGGAGATATTTATTAATTTCTTAAGAGTTCCTACCAAACCTTCACCAAACAAGAAAAAGATACATCCATGAGTACATTGGGACTTGGGAGGCAAGCAGCATAGAGAGTCTCAACAGTTCATCTCAATTGTGAAATTTGAGTTTCAAAAAACACAAATTTAAAATGAAAAAGGCCTTCGATTAACAGTCTATTGATGGGAAGAATATTCCAGTCAATACTCACTATGCCGGGAGCGGCTAAAAGGACATACATCTGGAGAGGAGGAATCACCGTTGCCTATGCCACTGGCAGTTCACCACAATCACTTATGACGACCTTTTTTGTGGGCCGGTCACCCCTATCCGTTTCCTGCGATTCAATTAGCTTCACCACATCCATGCCCTCAATAACTTGCCCGAATACAACATGCTTCTTATCCAGCCATGGGGTCTGCAGATCACAAAAACATTATTGGACAAACAGCAACGTTCACAATATGTTCTTTAAGTGCAATAGGAAATAGAGATGTGTAAGGGAGAGGAATTGTGGAGTAAATGGGAAACTTTAAGGAATGCTAAGAGTTTAATAAAAATGCACTTGTGGATTGGGTGTGAGAAATTCATACTACATTAACCTTACTTCATGTGTCCTATTTTGGGTTACAAGATTTGGCTTAAGTTAAAGTAAAATCTCCCATGATAATATGTAAATAAGCATTCATAATTGGAATTTACAATTCTAATTATATTTACAATATTTTTGAACCACAAAGTTGAATTCAAATATGTAAAAATTTGATACACATACACTAAATAAGAAAATATAAAGCAATTCAGTTGACCGTGCGTGAAAAGTGAAGTTGACAAACATAGTTGGACAGAGAGATTATCTTATTGCAAGCCCTAATAAGTAATAGGCCCCCCTACTATTTTTTTGCCTATCTTACATCGATAAATAGGGGAAAGGTTGATTACTTGATTTCATCTCAATCTCTACCTTTTTCTTCATTTATCTTCAAAAAACAACACAAAATCTAGCCTATTTCTCTTCTACTTTAATATTCTCCCTTAAAGCTTTACACAATTCTCATTTTTTCGTCTCTTCCCTAATCCAAACACAGCCCAAGGGATTGATGTGAAACAAAAGAAAAACAAATTTGGTGCTCCCTCTGAATCATTTGCATTCTTTTCCACATACCTTGACGGTGCATATGAAGAACTGGCTTCCATTTGTGTTGGGGCCAGCATTTGCCATGCTCACAACTCCAGGTCCAACATGAGTCACTGTATCAGTTTGATCTTGTTAAACAATGATTGAAATGTGTATATGTGTTGGTTTGTTTTTTGCTTATATACACTGCTTATTTTGGTTGAAAAAAATCTATACTAATATAAAAAGGGAAACCAAAGCAATAATGTTTCCCAACTTCCCTCAAAGTTACAACTATTCAATAACGTTTCCTGCCGATAAGTGCTCATTAACCGGTGCTTCTTGATTTCTAGATTTTGCAACTGTTGGGCATTATTATTTAACCCTCACTTAGTTTCCAAACAAGTACTTCATTTAACTGCTTTTACTCCTTTAAATAATTATTTGTTCATCGCACTACGTACGGCCACTACTTTGGTTACTTTTCATTGTCTTATTCAAATTAAAATTGTTTTGGATACTCTTACAATCACGTTCACACATGTGAGATTCCATCGGTAATTAATCAATTAGATGAATAATTCCAGTATATATGGAGGTTGAATCTTTGGTTATCCATGAGAAAAAATAGAAGTACCCGCAAAAAAAGATGTCAAAGGTAGTTTGAGATTAATGTATCTTCATAAATTTACATGTACACACTTAGTGTTCATGGCATGTCGAAAAGAAAACTTCTTCAAATCTCATGCGAGGTAGGGGTCTTATGTATTCAGAGACGGAGCCAGTATCTAATGTCAGTGGTGTCAAAGTAATATACTAATGAAAATTACCCTAATTAAGAGTAAAAATAATGTGAATTCTAAATTAGGAGTACTATATTATTGTTTCAGTTTCTTATTAAATATTATCAACCTTATCTTTTCAATCATACGTCAAAAAGCTTATGAGATAGAGGAATATATTATATATATTGACACTATTTATACAAAAATTAGTGATGTCATTTTTAACACTTACAAACTTACAATACACACACACACACATATATAATACATATATAATTTGAGTGGTGTCATTTTACACCATAAGCCAACACTTGGCTCCATCCCTTCTTATGATACATCTGATGCATAATACTCCATAGTAGATAGTGTAAAATACACGTTATTCAGTGATATGTTCTTTATGTGCCTTATAATTAGGAGTACTATATTATTTTTTATAGTACTCCTAATAATATGATATTACATAGTAAAATACCTTTCCATATAACAATATCGACTTACTTAGTAAGTAAGTGTATATATTTTTTTATCAATATGCATGTCAATCAATTTGATCATGTTTAATGGAATGGAAGGGATATTATTGCCCCGTGCATCGCACGGGTACGATACTATTATACCAAAAAATGTCAAACTTACATGTGAAGTTTTCGTCTTTAAATGTCCGCCCGTAAATGCTTTTACCACCAGTGCCCTGCAAAAGATAGTTCAATTGAAGGCTGAATTACTTTTTATGGAGTAACTGATGATGAAGTGTCAGTCACAAGCACATAGAAGCATACATACCCATCAGAACTTCAAAATACTTGTTTTATATATAACAAATAACGTTCAAACCAGTTACTTTTACATGTTGAGAACATATAAGCATATAACAAGCAGAAGGCCAATAGCAGCTATATTTGATAGAACTAAAACGAGTGTTGGTACAGGATGTACTTACTTTGAAAGTGATAAAAGACTCCAAGAAACATGTTGTGTTGATACTTGATAGATATAGTGCAAAAGAGTGTTTGGGATGAAAAAGGTAAGAACTAATGTTATATGATTTAGATAGAGATTAGGAATAAATGGTGTGTGATACCCCTACTTTGGGATGTTAAGATAATGAGGGTTTGAATGGTAGGAAAGGTTATACATTACATTCCCACACTTGATCACCTAATTTTTTATAACCCTCCTCAAGAAAGGTTTGACAGCTACACTCCCTAACAGGCTAACACTCCTATTGCTAGCATTCCACACATTTCATCCAAACAAACTTTTCATTACCTTTTAACATAGCATGCCTTTGTTATAGTAAATGCAATAATAAGAAAGCTTGAATCAGTTGGAAAAAATATTAGCAGTACAAAAAAACAACCAAATATCATTAAGAATGCAAAATACCCTTAACCAAATCAACCACATTGGACATGAAATCTTAAGATAAAAAACATTTTGAACTACCTAATCTGCATTGTTAAAAGTGTTGCTACAAGTTTGCAAGCATATTCAGTACTACTAAATCTAGAAACAGACAAACAGTTTAGTTATGATATTAGCAGTGTAGCAGGACAACAAAAATGAAAAAATAGCATTCGAATTTAGGAAACAGACACATGCTTCTTTTACCATGAATATGCAACACTAATAGAAACAGAAGCTATTGGTGAGATCTGTAGTAGAAGAAAATAATAGAGGAAAACATAGCAAAAAGCATTTCAAATGAGTGAATGACATACATTTCCTTTATCAAAGTCACCTCCTTGAATCATGAAGTCCTTAATAACACGATGGAAACTCGAGCCTTTGAAGCCAAAGCCTTTCTCTCCTGATTAAAAGAACACCCCAAAGCATGTTTAGAACAGTATGCAGTTGAAAATTGAAAACAATGTTGTAATGAGAAATAAATAAATGAGGAGTAAATAAATACATAAATAAATAACCTGTGCACAGAGCACGAAAATTCTCCGATGTTTGTGGCACCTCATCTCCAAACAATCCAATCACAATTCTCCCAACAGGCTTCGCGGAATTCCCAACACTTATGTCAAGATAAACTTTGCTTGTCACCTTTGCTTGTGGTTCTGCCACAGTTGCCACCTGGATAAAAATGGAAATAATAAGAGCCTGTGTGGTGCATTTTATGTTGAAGGAAAAGTGTTCTGTAAAAATATATCTAAAATAAATAAGTAGAGTAAAAAGCTACTTATTCTAAATTTTTGCAGATAAATAAAAAACCGCAGATTAAGAAACTTTTAACAACCAAATGGGCTCTAACTTTCAAACGATGTTGCGAGTCGTCAGACAAGAGAAAGCTACACGATAAAGCCTTTCCACAGACAGATAAAAGGCAAACAGTATCAGGATGCACTCTTCTCCAATTTATCCAATTTAAGAGAGAAACGGAGATAAGTATCCACTTCACAATTAAATACATTATTGCACAAAATAGAACCACCGACTCGAGCTGCAATTTCTGGAAGCTATCCATCGAAAAAAGTTGCACATATTTCCTGAATGTAGTAGGTTAAAATCGAAAGTTCGTCTAATCGCTAGAGGCGACCAATAACTAACCTGCGCAGAGGCTTGAATGGGAGCTACTGAGCGTCCGGATTTAATTTGAACTGAGCAGTTTAGCGGCGTTTTTCGGCTCAATGAGCTCGAGTAGAAGCAAGAAGAGGAGAAAGATGATAGAGAAGCCGCAGCATAATCCGCCGAACTGGACGCCCTAAGTTTCTGGTGCAAACACACAGAGCTAGATACCTTGGTAGACGATAGATTTCGAGGAACTGTGAGCGAGCTAGAGTTCACCTGCAAGTAAGGAAATGTAAATTTAGATGGAAAGTCGAGATAGAAGTTAACAAATGAAAATGGAGAGTTGTGAGTTTACCAGTGTCGCAAACGGAAGCGCCATTGTTACGAGCTCGGGATTTCGTCTTCTCGTCTACACTATTGCACGGTAACCGGTAGGCCGTAGGCGGTCAGAGCGTCGTCTTCTGGTTGTCCAGTCTCCGCGAATGCTGAACCGTTAAAAACAATATGCGGAGTGTAGCGTTTTATTTTTTCCATTTGGGCCTGATGGACAATCCGCATAAACTGAAGCAGATTTTTTTAGTATGGGCCTTGTTTATTATTCCATTACATAGGACGTGCTTACTTCGCTGCTAAAATCACATTTATGTTAGTATAAGACAGATGAAATAAATACATAAATTGCTTACTAAATGAAAGATATGCTTAAATGTCTCTTACTAAGCATACATCCTCTCATGTATTAATTAAGTAACACGTTAAGCATTTTCAGTTTCTAAAATTACCGTTTCCCTTATCCCTTATTGTTATCCCTACCCTACCACTACTATCTACCCCTAACCTTCTACTTACCCCAGCCCCACCCTACCTTACCCTGATCCCACCCCGACCCCACGTCATACTCATACTGTTTCCCTTAGTTATACGCATACCCTTACCCATTACCTCACCCTACACCTACCCTCCCCTACCACTTCACCTACTTATAAGAGTATCCTACTCCCAGCCACCTACATCTACCCTACCCCAGACACCCTCTTGCCCTAACCCTACCCCCGCGTTAACCCCTAGTCCTTACCAACCTCGACAATACTCCTAACCCCACCTCTACCCATCTCTCGGATACCCCCTTACACTACCCCTTTCCCCTACCCTAACCCCCATACACCCGACCCCCACCCTTTGTACCCTACCCACCCCTAACCTTGCCTTCCCCTACCCTACCACTACCCTACCCCTACTACGTCCACATCCCTATACACTTCTCTTACCACTCACCCTACCCTTACCAGACTCGTACCTTATCTCTGTTAAGAGCCTACTGGTCAAGGTAGGGGTTAGGGGTACGGTTTATGCGGGTGGGTAGGGAAGTAGGGGTAGGGAGTAAGGTCGTGGTAGGAGCAGGGGTAGGGTGTAAGGGTAGGGGGTCAGGGGTACGGGAAGGGTAGGTTAAGGGTAATGGTATAAGTACTAGTTAAAGTAATGCAAATTTCTAATGTGCACTTTTACGTGTAAACTTTTGCACGGTTGAAATGCACATTTTCCAATTTTTCATATGCACATTTCTGTTTTACATTATGCACAATGCTAAAATCCAACGCTCCAAAATCATTCTCATTTCTCTCCTAAGATGGTATTCTCATTTGATCCTTACCCTATATATATATATATATATATATATATATATATATATATATTTGAATATTTATTCTAACTTAGGATTATTAATTTCAATATTTATTACTTCCTCCGTTTCGTTTTAATTGCAACACTTTCTTTTTGGGAAGTTTCATAATAATTGCAACACTTTTATTTTAAGATATAAAAAAGTGTGCAATTGTCTTTAATACCCTCAATTATACATGCCAACTATCTTTCTCCCATTCTCCGTATCCACACATATCTTGAAAGCAATTTCTTGGCAAGAAATACTTGAATGAAATACGCTGAACATTCCTGATGAATAAATCATCCCCGACCCTTTCATCCCTCACGATCAAAATTTCTTGGCCACCGGCGGGAGAGAAGTGAATAGAACGACTCGCCACATATTGACGTCCAACACTGTACACCCTGTCCTGTACCCCTTAATCGCTGCAAATTTGCCGCCGATGCTTTAAAGTTATTCGGTGCCTCAGCTTCAAACACCAATGCAGGCTAGACTACAGATTCTGGATCCAGAACTCCCACTAGCATTGACCGAACGGTTTCAAGGTCTTTGGAACGCCGATGGCTCACACACTAATTTTCAAACTCATAGCGCTAACATAGATGATAGTAGGTGCTTGCTGCTCACATCATATTTACAGAAATGGAAAGAACGAAACATTGAGACGAAGGAGATGGTATGAAAAGGTGAAGAAGATCTAAGTAGAATGGCCCATGACTTTTGTTGTCAAACACTCTGAACAAAAGTAGACAGTCAACCGTGCAAATAAGGGTATAATGGGAACACTGAAATGTTATTAGACTTTCTTAAAACACGTGCCCGCCTCCCATGTTGCAAATAAAACCGAACGGAGGATAGTATATTCTAATAGTAATAAGTAAACATAATGATTATAACCATAATCTATACTAATTGTGGTACAAATTATGTTATAATATTACTACTTGATTAGGTTAAACTACTATTTGAGATCAACATGGATACAACCACCCTCAGTGGAAAAGTTGGAATATTTTTGTGAATGATTAGCCTTCAATACGCCTTATCTTTTAAACTTCTCATGTTTACTTTTCCCACACCAGTAAGTGAGGAGAAGATATCTCTGACATCCAATAAATCAGCTCATCTCCACTGTATGATTAAGGCAGCATGCAAACAACACAATTGCTGAGTTCTTGAAAAATGCTTGAGCTGTGTCGATGTCGAGCGGCTCGCGAGCCTTAGTCAAAGTGTTCGAGTCGAACTCGATTTCGAATTTTTAAGCTCGATCGAGCTCAAGCCGAACTCGAGCATGTATAATATTTTCGAGTTCGAGTTCGAGCTTATGTAAGTTCGGGCTCAGATCGGCTCGTTTGCATCCCTGCTCACGAGGTTGAACAAAAGATTTGACAAACAGAAATGAGATCATATATAATTCAATAAAAATTAAATCAAACAAAATTGACCATAATACAACTAGAATGACTTTTTTATGTAAAGTGTATTAAATAAACTGAATAGACCGAAAATGAAAAAAATGGCCAAAACTGATCGAAGCTAACTTAAATTAGCGATTCTATTTCTTGAATTGAAAATTCTCAAATTTGGACATACACAAACCAAAATCTTCAAACCAAAACCTACAAATGTGAAACAATTGACAACCTTAAGTGAGGCAAGATCACAAACAATATATTGCATTGAAGTCCAAATAAGATTCGATTTTCTTTTTCTAGACTCCAATTTGATGTAGTCTCCTTCATAAAATAGTATTACACAATTAATGTCTCAACACTAGAAAACAATGGCACAACCAAAAATCAAGAAATAAATTCTAAATTAAAGAAATGCATTCTTATTTAAGAAGGGAGTGCTACGTGAATTTCATAGGGTGATTGACTAATACAAATATGTCACATTATGTTCTCCTCCTAATCATGGATATAGAAGTTCCCTCAAATAGTTCTTCAACTAAGGCCTCAATATCCTCTGGTTGATACTTGATGTATTTTTCAGCTTGTTTTGAATTGTCAAGATATTGCTTAAACCTCCCCAAAAATGACCGGTAAGCCGGAATAACCACTGAAGATATAGAAATTCGAAGCTCCGATTGAAGTTGATCATCGGTGACTACCCAAGTGCTCTGTGTTCTATGTATTTCGTCAAATGCAATTGTAAATTTTTTTAATCTTTCTCTCAAAATGGGCTTAGAAATTTTTCCATTCACTTGTAATCCGTCATGACATAAAATCTTCAACACTCTTCCCCAAGTTTCCCGTTGATAGCTCTTGTGGTATTGCCTCAAAATTCCAGATCTTTTACGACACCAATCATCGCCCATTAATTTGTGCATCTTACTACACCGTTTTACTTTTTGAAGAATGTATCTACCGTTGTTCATCAAGAATATGTCACGCAATGATAGATCTCTGTAAAGCATTGCCTTTGTTTTTAGGTTTGCATCTAAGAGATCCATAACTGTAACAACCTGTGTTGAGAACGGTGTCGTACCACAAATATTACTATCATCACTTTCGTTATTGTTATCATCATTATTATTACTATTAAGATGATGATGATTATCATTACCATAATTATTATCAATCACTGCATCCGCACCTGACGATGATATCTTTTCTCCATAAACTTGACATTTTTTATTAGCATGTTGCTTAAATATATGCTCCAAGATGTCTTTGTATTCAAATGTGTATTCTAGATAGTTCATGACGTAGCGCGTGAGAGGGTGCACTGCTCCACCGGGGACTGGAGTTCTTGATACATCGTTTTTTATTGAATCCTCAAGGTCGAGAAAAAGGCTAACAGTCGCTTCCCCGATTCTATCTCCAACAACAACCATCTCATATTTCACCTCATTGAGACAATCATCAAAACATAAATCATTAATTCTTGATATGAGATCATGTATTGTCTCATACATGTCTAGGAATTTGAAGAGTTTCTCGGCTGAACGCTTCGTCATTGACACTGCCTCCGGTAAGTCCATGAGCTGAATCACTATTGGACGAGCTAAGTTGCTCAAGATGCTTTGAGAAAGAGATGGACACTTGAAGAAAATAGAGTCAGCGAGTCTCCGTTCTCCTGGAAGAAATGTCTCGGAGCAGAATTTTACCACTCCCATCCATCTCATTATCTCCCCTTCCAAAGTGTCCCATGACATTCTTTGAACATCTTCTACGTTAATTCTCTCAAAATCAAATTTCTTCATATTTTCAGAAAAAGCATTTCTCCGTGACGTTGTATAAGCTTGACAGAATTCGTTCTCATACCCAGCTGTGATCATGGCGATAGACATGCGACTAATTAAAGAAACAATGTCTGATGAGTATATTGCATAATTTTCTCCTTGAACTTGTTCTAATCCGATAGAAGAGGCGTCCTCGCGCTTAGAATCCAAGGAGAATGATCTGTGTATTATTGAATTGTTATCGTTTCTAGAACAATCAAGTAAACAAGATACCTCTTCTTCCATGAAAGCCATTGCCTGTTGTAACACAATTCCAATTCGGTTAGTCCATGATGAGGCCGTTAAACTTGTTGAAAACTCATCAAATACATTATTCAATTTTGACAACCGCATTATTGCATCGATGAAGGACACGTCCTCCTCAGTCACATTGCCAAATTTATTTCGTTTTTCACAAGAAACATATTTTTTGATCCGGGACTCTACGATTTTGCATAGTTGCTCAACAATGTCAGGAATATTGGGTAGATTGGTGCTCCTTTCACTGGCAGACAAGACGTCAATAAATTCATCAACCTCATGATATATTTGATCAATGTTATCATTAGAAATATCTAATGAACAATTATCATCGTGGCATTGTGAGTTTGAATTGGTTCTCTTAATGCTGGAGGTAATA